AATGAGACAAAACTAACTTACAAGCAACTTTTTAGCAAGATATACCAACTTGTTTTAAGTAAATAATTCCTTAATATTAATATTAAAAAGTACTAGTTTCACTGGCAGATTCCCAGCCAGCATGCCTAGGTGGGACCCATGTGGGGACAAGGAGGGCAGACTATATGGGTCCCATATGGGTTTGTCCGCGGGTTCCACGATGGCCCCACATGGGTTTGCCCATGTAGGGCCACAGCCCACATGGGTGCTACATGGGCCCTAATTGGACAAAACCCATGTGGGCCACCACCATATAGGGCCCATGCAGGGCCCATGTGGGCTCTGGCCCTACATGGGCAAACCCATGTGGGGCCATCGTGGAACCCGCGGACAAACCCATATGGGACCCATATAGTCTGCCCTCCTTTTCCCCACATGGGGCCCACCTAGGCATGCTGGCTGGGTTATTTCACTTTTATAACATGGGAAAACTGTCTTGATGAAAGTAAAATAATCTAACAGTGGACCCAGTAGTGTTTTGTCAATTTTAAGCAATTATTTACTTAAAACAAGCTCCTATATCTTGCTGAAGTTATTTGTTAGTTTTGTCTTATTTCAAGTGCATTAAGAGTTTTGCACTTTAAAATTTTGTGTTTTTGCAGTGAAGTTATAGCATATCAACTCTGAGTATTAAAAAGTATCCACATATAAAACTTTTTGAGATGGATGAATTTAAATATGTCAATAAATATTACATTAATTTTTGTAAAAAGAGTCCAACAGCCCCAGTTCATGTGTGAATTTTAAACAGTGAGGCAATCCAAACCATTAACATGTGGTTTAATGATTTAAACCACATTAACCACATTAATAACCTTTTTTTTAATGGAGGCTATTACAAAAGGCTATTATAAAGTCATAGGGTTCCCAACAATAAATTGACAAACTATTTTCTTATGAAGTTTAAACATATTTAGCATTGTTTAAGACTGCAGAATAAGCAGCTGTGTTTACTTAGGAAGGACATGGCTTATTTGCTTTTCTCAAGGAATTTCGCATGAAGTTCACTGTTTAATTTTGATTGTTCAAATAAAACAGAAGAAACTCGAAATAAGGGGACAAACAGTGACAACTGAAGACAAACAGAGAGAGGACTTGTCCTACAGGATTTAAAGTTCCTGTGAATCCGATCATGTCAGATTTCTTGGTTAACTTCTAATTATATTCAGTGTTGTCTGAACAAATACTTCACATCCTGCAGAGCTCCTGTTCTGAGAGCAGTTAAACCCGGAAGCAACAGAAATGACTTTTTAAAGATAGAAAATTTCACAATTCTTCCGCTTCACTTAATTTGTTGAAAATCATCCATAATTGCTCAAGGAAAGCTCCAAAAATGTAGAATATTATTAAAAATACCATGAAACAGTCTAGTTCTTTACCTCTCAAACATTTACCTTTCTCTCAACGTTTTCTGAATGTGCTACAGCGTTTTCCGAGACATTAAATTTTGAGTTTTCATAATTTGTTTATCCTTAATCGTCGCACTTTCTTTGTTTCTTTATTTCACCCGTATGATTGAGTACATTTATGGTGCAATACCAGTTTCCGCCAGAAGATGGCAGTAGCGGCAAATACGAGAGAGGCTAACTTCAAGCCTAGAAGAAGCTCAGAGTCAGCGTCGCTGCGAAGCCATTATATTTATTTTTTAAAAAGCTGATTTCTGTTTTAACGGGTGGGTGAAGTCTACATTTAACCGATAAGGTACCATTATTGTAAGTGTTTGTGAGTGGAGAACAGTATTTTATTGGGACACATTGTATTTTGAGAAATTTCTGTGTGTATTTTATTAGAAGTGACTCTTAACTGCCGCTAGCCTAGAGGCTAACTACCGTTGGTGAAACTGACTTTACTAAAAGTACTTTCAGTTACCATCTTCGAAGAAAATGTTTGTTGGTTTTACGGTTATTTACCCCGTAATTTTTGGTTAGAGGGAAATTACAATGTGTCTTTTGTTTTTTTAAAATGTTTTGTCGGCTCTAGTGACCTTTATTTGGCAGTTGTCAAACAGAAAGCGATTTATGAGAAAGAGAGAAGACATTTGTTCAAACACGAGTCCACACATTCTAAGAAAATAACAATAAATAAACAAATTACGAGAATATACTAATGACATTATGAGAATAAAGTCGTAGTACTACAAAGCATCCATAATATTACGACTTTTTTCTGGTAATAATGGCACCAATTCTTGTAATTGTATAATTTTATTTTTGTAATTTTATTTTTTCTTAGTTTGTCTCTAAATACTCAAAGTATAACATTGGAAATGTATTTCTATTAGTAATGTTATGTAAACTGAGTTCATGATTGTCTGCTAATTAATATGTTTTACATAACATTTAACAGACTGTACAAACAACTGTGCAATTATTAAAATCTAAGTCTACGTTGTATAAAAGCAGTGTAAGCGTAATCGCAGCGAAGCCATTACTACAGAAACTGATTTCTATTTTCACAGAATAAAAACACATACAAATCATCTGCCGTCACATTCACATGAAACCTGACACCACGGATTGATAATTGAAATTAAATATGGAGTCCAGCAGCAGAGCAGATGGAAATGGTAAGAAAACTGAAAACATGATGTTAATCAGCATTTTTTTTTTTTTACCTGAAACCAGTTGAACTGTTTCTGTTGCGCTGAGAGCTGAAGGATGTCTCAAAAATCTGCAAACAGCGCCACCTTGTGGAGTTTTAGAGCTGTAGCAGGCTGGCAACACCTGATTTCTCTCACTCTAACATTCAGTTTCCCAGCACCCAGTGAACTGACTGCTCAAACAAATGTTTTTCTCACTTCATTTCACAGAAAAAAGGTGCAAAAACATCTGTTGCAGCTTCCAGGGTCCTGCTGCTGGAATAATCTACTGGTCAAGTCCGATGCGACGGGACTTCAGCTTCTTCTGCTTTCTGCAAGAAAACATGTAGTCATGATGGAGACCTGGATAGAGAGGTAGCAGAACTGATCTTTTTCCTTTATTCTTCTCAGCAGACAGTTTCTGAAGTTTCTTTAATCAGACCTTAATTAAGACCAAAGTGTCTGCTGATATTCAGTGCTCTGATGCAGACGCTGATAATCTTCAGATTATGGAGGAATGTTCTGCAGACGGTCATGTTTCCTCAAGAGACGCCGACGGTCTGTAGAACGACCTTTTCTCTGAGCATTTTAACAAACTTAAACCTTTCTGTGTATGTATTTAGGGCTGTTGTAAACAATTATTTTAGTAATGAAATAATCTGTCAGTTATTCTTATGATTAAACAAGTAATCAAATAAAAAAAAATTGATAGATAAAATATTAGTAAATACTGCCATACCAGCAGTAATAACTTTGGATATCAACATTGGCCCAAATTTTCGTATTTGTGCATCCCTAATAATTACTTTTCTGTAGTTTAGAAAATTAACCTGTATCAGCAATGGCTCACTCTTCCTGAACAAAAATTATAGAAAAATCAGAAAAATCACAAGAAAATTAATTAAAATATCAAATGTTCTTTTATGTATTCATTGAGTCAATTTAATAGATGAACTCTCACTTTGCTCAGCCACTGAAAGCTTTTGTGTCCATATTTCTGATTTTGCACCACCGATTTTGGTGTGCAAAATCCAGTAGCGTGTGACAACAAACATATGTTTTTTTGTGTACCGGGCCTGTACACATGTACATTGCTTTATCATACATACATATCATATCATACATCTCTAAGGCTCCACAGGGTGGAGCTGTTTGCAGCCTTTTGAACCTGATCCTTCAGCTCTTAATGTAGCAGGGACAGTTTCATGTGAAACACCTGCTGATTAAAATCACGTTTCCAGTTTCCTGACATTCTCAATGTTCTGCTGCTGGACCTGAAACTTCCCTTATTTCACTTCAGTTATCAATTTATGTTGTCCAGTTTCATCTGAATGTGATGGGAAACAAACTGATTTGTGAGTAAAAGTGTCTTTATTCTGAAATCAGATTTTTTAATAATGGCTTTGCTGTCATAATGGTTATGCTCCATTTAAACAATGTATTAATTACACAATTGTTTATGCTGATTTATGTCCAAAATCAAAAATGTTAATTAACATAGACAAATAACCATAAACTTAGCTTACATTACATTATGTAATCAATCAGGTTATGATTGTAAATATTAATCATTGACAGCTGTTCAACTGATTGACAGTTATTCCATCCTCAGTTATGCCTTTAACTAATTAGATAAATATCTGCTTATACTGGTAAATATTTTGTTATTCATGTAACATCATAGTTTACTAAGCTGCAGCCAGAACATCACACATATTATCACTGTGTAGAACATCCCATCTTTTGCACTGCTGCTGCAGCTCCAACAATTGCTCCCAGATTAACTCCAATACCGGCTCCAACAGCAACTCCTATCGGTCCTCCTAAAACTCCAATAGCAGCTCCAACACCAGCTCCAGTAGCAGCTCCAGCAGCCGCAGCCCCCAGAGCAACACGCATAAACGAGTTGTCTCTCTCTGCCTGCCTTTTTGCATCTTCAGGATCAATTTCTGGATTTTCTCTGATTAGTCGTTCTGCTTCTTCTTGCTTGGCTCTCTGTGCCTCTTCAAACATTTCGTTGGTGTAGAAACGTCCTCCATTTTCCTTAACCATCCTGTTGATCTTCTGCACCAGACCCCTGACTTGAGCAGGATCCTCAACTGTGTTGTCAAAGACATGATATTTATCTTCAAAGGTCTGGAAGATGGAGCACTGACTGATGAAGTGCTTTAGAGGTCTGTGTCTTAGTAACATGTTTCCTATTGTAATATTTTCCCGTTTTAGTTCGTCTCCGTGGGTAAACAGGATCATAGTGTAATTGGCTGCTTCATTGCCAAAAATTTTCTGGATAATTCTCAAGCTTCTTTCTTCTTCTGTGGTGAATCTGGTCGGTTGGAGCACAATCAGGAACACATGAGGACCAGGAGCCGCCAGGCAGATGCCTTTAGCGATTTCTTCCATAATCTCTTTATTACTTTTATCTGTGTCAAACAGCCCTGGAGTATCAATAACAGCCAGATTTAAACCATCAAAATCATTGATTTTCTTCTCACAGACCGAAGTCACAGAGGAAAAAGAGAGACAAGAATTAAAAAATCTTCCTCCTAACATGGTGTTTCCTGCTGCACTTTTTCCGACTCCGGTTTTCCCAACAAGAACAATCCTGAGCTCAGTATCCTTTTTAGCTGTTGGAGAATTAGAAGACAACAATGAAGAGGGAGAAATTTAATTCAGATAACTTCAAAGTAACTTAAAATATGTCTAATGATGCCAGAATTATATGTTTCTTTTTAGATGTAGAGATTGAGAGGAGAATTTAGATGTTTCAATTTTCAGCTAATAATGTCTACAGAAATATTTTTGTATTAGATTAATAGTTTTATGGACTTAGAACAAGTTATACAGTTGGTCAACCTCAGTATTTTCATACAGATGAGTTGCTATACTTTCAGTAATATAAGTAAGCTTGCACCAAGCTTATCTGAGCTCCTGCAAAAAATAATGTTGAGAGAGTTTTAGCTTCCTCAAGAAGGGACACTGTGTCTGATCACACTGATGGTTTCCACTCCATCTTCCTTTAGATAAGAACCGTAGTTCTGGATGCCTGAAGTTTACGGCTGTCTGAGAGGAATCATTTCCCAAACGCTTCATCCTAGCAGCTGCTGACACCTTTTTAGTTTGGCTTCTTTGCTCATCAAACCCACAACTCACTGATTCATAAGAACTGTTCTAATAAGATGATGTGTCTGGGCAGAGAAAGTTAATTTAATCAATTTAGTTCAGTCAGTCAGGTTTATTTGTATAGCAGCACATTTCAGCAACAAGGCATTTCAAAGTGCTTTGCATCAAAATAACACAAAAGTACAAAGTCATAGAACACTCAGTGAGTTACTACATTTTGTTAAGTGCTATAATACACATCAGATTGTTGATGTTTAATTTATAATGTTTCAAAAGCAAAGGTGGATTTTTAGTCTATATTTAAAGAAACTCAGTGTTTTGGCTGTTTTGGAGTTTTCTGGAAGTTTGTTCCAGATTTGTGGTGCATAGAAGCTGAATGCTGCTTCTCCATGTTTGGTTCTGGTTCTGGTTCTGGATGCAGAGCAGAACCAGAACCATGTTGACAAGAGTATAGGAGGGGATTAACAGGCTTCTGCAGCACTTGATGGGATGCAGAGGAGGTCATGCAACCATTTGAATCAGGTGTTCTGGAACAGAAACAAATCTAAAATACATTCATTGGTTAGAGCTCTGGTAAATTAGTGGCTATGTATTTTTATCATGTTCAATCGGTCCCTTTGACTATACCCGGTGTCCTGCAGATGCTATATGTGGCTTTGCCTCACAACACCTGAGTCAAATAATGAGGCAGTTAGCAGCACTTTGGAGAACTTCACTGCATTGAGGAGGTAATTCAGCAATGTGACTGAGTTGTGTTTAACCAGGGACACATCTAAAAGTTGCAGGACTCACAGACTGGATTTGAGGATTCCTGCTCTAAAGGATAACATTTCCATCAATGCTTAGCTTTAGCATGTTAATATGAACTTAAGGGAGAGAAAAAATAAAGAACAATCTTCAATCTGGGCCTTCTGCTAACAATTACTCACAAATCATGTGCTGTCCTCCTTGTCTCAGGGAAGCCCCGCACAGAGACTTAAACTTTCTTTTAACTCAATCTATCTAGGCTCCGCCTAGGCAGGTAGCACAGTCTCACATGGATCAGTATTTGTGACCAAACTGGTCTTAACTGGTTTCTGACTTGCAAAGACTTAAGGACCTTTTCAAAGTGAGTTCAAGCAGCAAAGAGAAAACGACTCCAAATAAGGTAAAGACTGATTGCAGCTTCCTGCAATCTAGGAATTGTGGAAGGGTTCTTAGTGTTTGGGTATTGTCATTGCTACACAAAGAAATCAGAGCTCTCTTTACATGAATTAAAATACTAAAAATCTAACACTGCCTTTTATTCTGCCAAACTGAGATGCCAAGCAAAAAATGAAATATAAGGAAAAACAAGGAAGTTTACACAGGCAGGAAGTGGCTGAACCACCAGTGAGAGTACAGGAGGGGATTGAGGCAGAGCCACCAACCTGCAGAGAAAAGCAGAACAAGAAGCAGAAATGGAAATGGAGCTGTAGCAGAAGAGGGACATGTGGAGCACAAGACAGGAAACCTTTACCCTTCACTTCATTTGGTTTTGTTTCGGCTGACAGACACATGATCCTGTTAGTTTTAAGTTTAACTGTGCAAGCTGTGTTTTGTCCTGGATTGGTTTGATTTTTTTTTTAAATCAAAGCATAAATTATATTAATAATTAAAAGTTTGCACATTTTAGATAGAGATGTTAAATCTTTAAGGATCTGAGAATCCTTAAATTCTATTCATTTAAAATTTATAATGCTTTCCAAATCAGTGTTGATGTTTCGTTAGAGCTGCAATATAAAGACTTTGGTAACATCGAAAATAGTTGTAGCCTCTGCAAACAGAAAACAACTCCAAGGAAGACTTTTTATTCTTTCACTTGTGCAACAAAAGAAAGTTTAAAGGGAAGTCATCTGAAAATTATTAAAGATTAAAAAGTTAGGACTAGAAGGTATTTTACACTGAAAAGTATAAAAGGTATAATGTTTTATATTTTAGTATAAAAACAACTGAAATAATGAACCTACTGGAGGTTCATTATTTTAATTTTTTCTGATAAGGTTTACCGCCTATAATAAACTATAAATCATAAACTCTTCTTACCAGCTCGACGATAACTGGTCATTTCCAGTGTGTCCCTGCAGGCTGTTGATTTGTGATGATACATAGTTGTTGATTTCTTGGCAGCAAATAATGTTTGCATCAGTTCTGTTGTATGGTCTGGGTTCTTGGCTCCTCCCTTTGAATCTGTCTGCCAATCTGTCTGCCAATGCAGTCACTGTCAGAACTATGCAGGATGCTTTCAAATTGAAAACCATGATGGAACGTAATAAACTAAAGCTTTGAGAAACACAGCACACATATAATAGTTCACTACATGTATCTATTAGTTAGATGGGTTGCTTGGCAAGCAACTCTTCTAGACCAATTTCCACCAAATCAGTTCAGCTGCAGAAATTTGTAAAAAAAAAAAAAAAAAAAAAAATTAAACTACATGTTCAAAAGCTATTTGCTCCATACAGAGTCTGGATTCTGGGCCTTTTTAATAAATAATTGTTTGCTTGGACTCTGTTGAAGTTTTGAACTTTACCCATTTGCTAACATTTGGCCAGGGTGTATATAATGTGTAAGTTCTACATTATGAAGCTTTCCAGAAATTTACTGCATTGTAAACAACCATCCTCCACTGCAAAGAGAAAAGTGCCAAGCCAAACAGATGGTTGTTGCTGTTAATTAAATATTGGAAATGTGGCCAACACAGACTGAAAGGCTCCCATGGATAAAATTCACTTCCTCCATTGCTACTGCAGCAGAGGAAGTGAATAATAACTGAAGTTATTATGTTTGGACCCAAAGAGGACTGATCTGGTTAACACACAGCTTCAGTTGTTACAGCTGGAAACCAGCGATCAGGCCTGAAATCTGGGAGTAGTGATGGACTCTGACCTGAACATTCAGAGCCACATAAAGACAGTTTCAAAGTCGGCCTTCTATCACCTGAAGAACATATCCAGGATTAGAGGATTAATGTCGCTGAGATCTAGAGAAACTCATCCATGTGTTTATCTTTAGTCACATTGATTACAGTAACAGCGTCTTCACAGGTCTGACTAAAAACTCAATCAGATCCAGACGCTGCTGCTGGAGTTCTGACTAAAATCCGGAAGTTAGAGCACATCACCCATTTCTACTGTCCTTCCTCTGGCTCCCTGCAGCTCAGAGAATAGACTTTAAAATCCTGAATGGTTTAGCAACAATACATTAAAGATCTGCTGTTGTCATAGCAACCTTCCAGACCCTCAGGTTCTGGTCTGCTCTGCATCCCCAGAACCAGAACCAAACATGGAGAAGTAGCCTTCAGCTTCTATGCACCACAGATCTGGAACAAGCTTCCAGAAAGCTGCAAAACAGCCGAAGTTCCTTCAAGACTAAAATCCCACCTGTTTAGAGTTGGTTTTGAACCACCGGAACATTGACCTGCATATTTGATGTGTATTGATGACCGATTGTAATACCTGTCACTGGTTTTCACAATAGTGGACTATGTAATGTGTTTATGATGTTTTCATGATGTAAAAGCATTTTGAACTGTGTTGTTGCTGAAATGTGCTGTACAAATGAACTTGACTGATTTCTCATACTGCAGAGTAAATTTCTAAAACAGCATAGAAAATCGATGTCATTGCTCTGTACTATGTCTGCTGTTTGTCACCATTATTTGTTGTGTTAATGCACAAAATCTGAAGGTTTCATCCTTGCTTTTTGCAGTTGATGTGGTTTTGTTAGTTGGTTCCAGAGTTAACCTTCAGCATGGACTGAAGTGATTCTGTTTCTGTGGCCATGGTCGCCAACTGGAAATGGGTGGATCGATTCTTTTGGTTCAAGGATCAGGATATGTTACAAACAGAAGAGTGAAAGTATCTTGTATACAAGCAATGTAGGATGAAGTGGAAAGTTGTCAAAATAAGATGAAGTGAAAACCCATTGTAAGACCAAAAGCAGAACAGATGTGCCAAAAGGAAAGAAGCAGAAATAATATTTAAATAATAACCTTTAAATAATCACATTCAGAAAAACTATAAAAGAAAAATATGTTCTACATATAAAAGTAAATCTTTTGCTTCTCGTTGGAACACGGAGATTGCAGCGATTGCTGAAGATGAGGTGTGAGAAAGGAAAACATCTGATAACTAATTAGAATAAATTGGCAGTAACTTTTCCAAACAACATATGGGCAGCACCCACCAGAAAAATAATGTAAAACCACATCTAAAACAAGTCAATGAATAAAATAGATATTAATATTTGAAACTAAAGTAAATAAAGAGGAAATTTATATAATAAAGGAAGCAATATTTATCTTCATGACAAAATTAAAAAACTGATTTTAATGGGTAGGTAAATGCTGTTACGCAGTCATGTACAGCAGGTGGCGGTATTCACCTATAATCTCCTGGCGATCTGCCATTACAGACAGAAGAAGCAAGTTTCACTTTCACTTTTGGCATCAAGTCTCCTCCGTTTTCACCAAGTTGTTTTTATTTTCTTGGATTGAACCTCAGCGACAGCTTGTCTTTTCGTTAGAAAATATTTTAAGTTAATTTATTTACTAACAGTGTTGTGTTGCAGACCGTGAAATAATAAAGTATGTTACATTATTTTTGTCTCCCGACTAGTATGAACGTTAGTGACATTAGACTAAAAACAACCTATTAACGCCAGTGGTGAATGTTTAGAGATTGTTGCATTAATGAACAGTTTAATGAGTGTTTCCACATTTTAATGCTTTGTCTGAAGGGCGTTTATGTTTTCCTGCCTTGTTTGACACCAGGGCTCCGTGTCATGCGCAGTCATAGATGGGAGTTACTCTGCATGAACATCTGTGAGATACTCTGAGTTTTCAGGTTCAGGAACAGCAGCACCAACAAGGCAACTCTGAGTAGCTCAAAGCAAAAGGAAATTACAGCTTTCAGGTTCAGACATCAATAAAACCACAGCAACAGTAACCAGATTAAAAGTTATAAGAACCAATCAGGAGCCACAAAAAGTTTTGATGGGCTGTTTAAAGAAGAGTAAAGCCTGGGTTGAAATAAAATGTAGTTAAATTCATTATTTGAACTCACTGTGTGGTCATCGAAAAGGGATCTCAGATTAATCAAATATTAAAAAACAGTCAGCCACATGACGGCACATGCAGTGAACCGGTTCAGCCTGTTGAAGCTCAGGTTTTCCATTGCATCATAACGAACTCCTGCAAATTTTTAAACATGTTGAAAAGTTGTGAGCTGGAGTTTTCTGGATCTTCAATGGATTTATCACCAACATCCACTGTTTTTGGTAAGTAAATAGTTTTTTTTTCTTTTTTCCTCACATGAAACTGAACAAGAGTTCAAGAACATGGCAGTTACACCAGAAAAAGGTACTTTGAATTGAATTGTTGCTTAAATAAAATAAATCCTGATTTGAGTTTAGCATTTACTCATTTATTTTTTATTGTTCTTTGTCATGTAAGTGCTAAATGTAAGATCACAGGTGATAAAAAGCCTAAGAAAAAATAAATACTATGCTTAAATAAGCATTTATTGAAATAACTGTCTTAAAAGTCAAGTTTATTTTTACAGGCCATTTCAGCAACAAGAAAATTTAAATTACTTTTCATGATTAAAAGATAAACATAAAATCATGTGACAGTGGGAAATTATAGACAAGCACTGAAAAGTTTTAATCCAGACTAGAATTAACCAATATCTTGGTTATTATTAAATGAAGACAATCAACTGGGTTTTTATCCTTTATCTGTGGTGTGTTCACACCAGGAAAGTCCTTGGGTCTGAACTGACAGCAAACTTTATGATTTGGTTTGGTGCACATCACTTCACTGGGACCAATAATCTATTCCAGTCAACAACATAATAATCTCAAAATATAAAAATAAAGATTTTGAAATTATTAAACCAAAAACCCCTCCTGATCCCAGTAGGGATGAGGCTGAATGACCAGGGAGGGACTTAGCAAAGTACAGAGTTAGAAAAAGGTTTTCTTAAAGAAAATGGAGGTAAACAAGATAATAATCTGGTTGGTTTTAGGTATTTGTTGTATGTTAAATATTAACGTGTATTAGCTGAAATGTAGAACTTGTTCTTAGTACTTATTTGTTGTGTTTTACAACTTCAATCTATCAAATTTTCTTTTAGATTAATAAATCAAATATCCTTTTGTAACTGACATCTGTCTGAATAAAAATGCTCAAATTGTTGTTTTATAATTCTCCAACAGCTGAAAAGGATTCAAATCTCAGGATCGTTCTTCTTGGAAGAACTGGAGTTGGAAAAAGTGCGGCAGCAAAAACCATTTTAGGGAACAAAGTTCATCCTTGGCTTTCCTCAGCGACATTGTTCTGTGAGAAGAAAACCAATGTTCATGCTGGTCTAAATCTGACTGTTATTGATACTCCAGGTCTGTTTAGGACTGTAAAAAGTAATAAAGATATTGTGATGGAGATCGCTAAATGCATCAGCCTGGCGGCTCCCGGTCCTCATGTGTTCCTGATTGTTCTCCAATCAACCAGCTTCACACCAGAAGACGAAAAAACAGTGGAAATAATTAAGAAAACATTTGGCAAACAAGCAGCCAGATACACCATGGTCCTGTTTACCCACGGAGACGAACTGAGAGAGGCAAACATTAACATAGAAGACATGTTAGAAATACACAAACCTCTAAAACGCATCATCAGTCAGTGCTCTGTCTTGAAGAAATTTGAAGATAAATATCATGTTTTTGACAAAGAAGATGAGGATCTTGCTCAAGTCAGCGAACTGCTGGAGAAGATCAACAGAATGGTTCAGCGAAATGGGGGAAGTTTCTACACCAAAGAAATGTTTGAAGAGTCTCTGAGAGCCAAGCAAGAAGAAATGAAACGACCGTTCAGAGAAAATCTGGGCTTTTATCCTGAAGGTGCAAAAAGAGATGCTCCTCAAGGTAAGGCTGTTTGATATGGCACAAAATCAATATTACGATATTCTGATCAGATCTAGATAACGATAAACGGATGTTAACGCTAACGACTCTCAACCCTGGAAATAAAGAATGTGATGGCCTAAAACAAACTCTTCATAGCCACTTATATTGATGGTATTATTCCCCTTTATGCAATTATTTTATTACCACTTTAATTAAAAATAGTGGCAATCAGCAAAGTTTATAAACTATGTTTTTTGTCAAGTTATGTAATTCTGTAATGTACCTAATTTTTTCACCAAATCAATAAATCTGTGAAACACACCATTCTGTAATTTACTTCATCAAACCCATTTTTAGTTTCCACTTCTATCTGGAAAAATAAATTGATTTCAGTTTATCATTGTTTTCTTATTCTCCAATAGCTAAAATGGATTCAGACTTCAGGATCGTTCTTCTTGGAAGATCTGGAGTTGGAAAAAGTGCAGCAGGAAACACCATATTAGGACGAAGATTATTTCAGTCTAGAGTCTCTCTTTCCTCTGTGACACAAGTGTGTCAGAGGGAAAGCAGTTACCGCTGTGGCTTCAATCTGGATGTTGTTGACACTCCAGATCTGTTTGGGTCAAAGCTGGAGCATCTGGTCTGTCCTAAACAGATCGCTAGATGCATCAGCATGGCGGCTCCTGGTCCTCATGTCTTCCTGATTGTTCTCCAACTGACCAGATTCACACCAGAGGAAAGTAAAACTGTGGAAATAATTCAGAGATTGTTTGGAGAGGAAGCAGCCAGATACACCATGGTCCTGTTTACCTATGGAGATGTGCTGAAAGAGGAAAACATGACAATGGAAAACCTGCTAGAGCAACACCAACCTCTAAAACGCTTCATCAGCCGGTGCTCCATCTTGGAGAAATTTGAAGATAAATATCATGTTTTTGACAACGAAGCTGCAGATAGAACTCAAGTCAGCGAACTTCTAAAAAAGATCAACAAAATGGTTGAGCAAAATGGAGGAAGTTACTACAGCAATGAGATGTTCAGAGAGGCACAGAAAGCCAAGCAAGAAGAAATGGATCGACTGCACAGAGAAAGTCCGAGGACATTTTTTATAGATGGAAGAAAACAGGCAGAGAGAGAGAACTCATTTATACGTGCTGCTATGGACCCTGCTGCAGGCGGAGCTGCTGCAGGCGGAGCTGCTGCAGGCGGAGCTGCTGCAGGCGGAGCTGCTGCAGGCGGAGCTGCTGCAGGCGGAGCTGCTAACATCTCCAACATATTGGAGATGTTAGGAGAGCTGCTGCCGCTGGAGTGAGAGGGGAAATGGTTAGAGATGGTCCAATATAATATTAATGTCTGTACTGGTTATTGGTGATGGTGGTAAATGATGGTGAAGCACCGCCAAGACAAAATAAAACCTCCACATTTACAGAATTATTTTTTTTACATTATGTTTATTAGATATTTTGAATATTTAGGGAAAAGGGACAATAACAACAACAACAGGACAAAACTTATACAGCACAGATGGGAGACAAAACAGGAGGCATGTCCATAAATTATTGTAATTACTGGAACAAAGTAACCCATGTAGATATAATCTGGGTCATGCTTGCACTGAAAATGTGAATTTCAGAGCTGTTACAATACAAAGGCTTCAACATGCTTTTAATGTGAAAGATGCATTTTAAAGATATTCATCATCCTGAGCCTTTTAATTTTGAGATAATCCAGAACTTGCTCCCTTTTTTAAACAGCATTTTCGATTCAGATAATTTCTCAGTCTTTCTAATACAATAACTTCACAAATTAAGTTTTTCCACATCTGGACTGAAGGGATGTCAAAACCAACCCATCTGAACTTTATGGACTTTCTAGTCAACATCAATCTCTTTGTCAGTATCCAGATGAAAAGTTTTTATTATTATAAAAAACTTCATAATCTGCTGCACATGAGGTATGCATTATCAATATTTGTGCATTTGTATCAGCCATAATCAGAGTTTGAAATTAATTTAAGTATCATGAAATGTTGAATTTTACTTTATCTTGAAAAACCAAGACTGCCGACGCGTTTCCCTGCATAACAGCAGCTTCTGCTGTCTGCCTGAGCTGTTTGAAAGACTTTCTGAACCGTTTCTGGCTGTTTATCTTTGCATGTTTGACCAAGTTAGTCTACGTATTGATTTAGTCAGTATTAGTTTCTTTATTATGTATAAATAAACAGTTTTCTATAAATTGTCTGTTACCCTCCTAATTGCACCATAACAAGTTAAAGTTATGTTGTTTTTACATGTTTGACCAAACTTGTGGAGCTGTTGGTGCTAAACTGGTGCAGAGTTATCAAGCAAATTAGTAATTCAGGACATTCATGTTTGTGTGTTTTGTTTTTTTAAAAAAACAAAGTTTTTAATCAATTCAGCTCTGTTTTTCTGTATCGGATCGGTATTGACTGATACCAAACTTCAGATATCGGTATCAAAGGTGAGTCAAGTGGATCTGTGCATCTCTTTTATTTGCTGCTTTAGCAGTGAAGGAGAAGTGGGGATGTGTTGTGTGGTGATGATGTGTCTGATGATTTGGCTCCAGCTTGTTAAACCCTGATTTTCAGGAATAACATGTTGGGCAACACGCTGAATCCCACATCAACAGTCTGAATATTAGTCATAGAAGTCGGAAAATCTGAAGATGACTGTATTGTGGTTAAACATTAAATGTTAGAGGTCAAGTTTAAAGGTCAGAAGTGAAAACTTCATGTTTTGAGAGCTGTTTACTCTCTTATTGAGGAACAGAAGATAATGTCTTTAACCATGCATAAACTTTGTCTTTTGTATAAAAGAAGGGGATGTTAAGCTAGACTTCCACAGAAGCTCATTCTCTCTATATATGTTACTGATGGAACAAAACTTTGTGGGAGGAAGTGCATATGTGATGAAAATGAATATAAAAACACGTATGTACATGTAAGATCACTCTCATTCTCTGAATCCTCTGGATGCTGCTTTAGCTTCTTGAATAAAAATACAATGACAAAATGCATCTTCTGTCAAAACTGATTCTCTGTCGTTAATTGAAATTGTGTCTCATCTTTGAACAGCTTGTGGTGCATAGAAGCTTCAATAACAGTAGAAACAAATACTGTTAATTATTATCCTGATGATTTGTTCTGATTTTAGACACTCTAGAGTAATTATTGATTGGTTTATCTTGTGATTAGTGATAATCATTACTGGATTGAATATGTAATATATATTTTCATAACCAGGAAAAGGACGGAGAGGATCTACATTTAATTTGCTGATTAATTTTATTGGAGATCTGAAAGAGGAACCTGGGATTAGAGGTATTTCATTTTGCTCTTAAAACTCCAATAAAGATTTTTGTTTGTTTGTTTTTTACTTCTATTTGGTATTTTGGCAAAGCTGGAGAGGCACCAGCCCCTCCCGACTCCATTAAGGGATAAGAATGTAAGAGGATGGATGGATGGATGGATGGATGGATGGATGGATAAAGTTAGTTGAGTTTTCCTCCTAATAGACCCAACAACTTCAGTGATCTATAGGCAGGAATTGGGAATATATTGAATTTTATTACAGGATTTTGTTGTGTTTATTGCAATAACGATTGATATTTTAAAACAAATTTTTATCTTTTTTGGCAGTAGATTTTGGGGATATGCCAGTACAGGTCTGCAGCTCATCAGAGCCCCACAAACATAAAGATTTATTTAAAAGTTCCCCATAATTAGGCTACTTCATTATTCTAGTTACATTTGGTAGTGCAATTGTACTGCTAAACTGAACAAACATGCATTTATATTATTGAACATATTTATATTGTTCTCGCAGAACAAGCTCCATCGGCTTGTTCTGTGAGAACACTAATATATCCTTAAAGTGATAAAATCTGAAATTTTATAACCTGAAATAAGTTTTTAAAATGTCCATAAACAAAAGAAAACGTGTTACATATTTAACTTTTGGAAAGCAGAGTATTTGGAGAAGTTGTAACTGGATCTCAGAAATATTTATACATCGTGTATAAAGCCAAGTTTCCTTGTTTTGTAATAGGAAAGCAAAACAAGGAGCAATTAAATTGACCAATTAAAATAATTTGGTCAATTATTTTAATTGACCAAATGCCAGAATAATAGGAATGTTTTTTTTTAACAACGTTCTTTCTTTATTTAATGACAGCAATTGACATTTAAGATGCATTTTGTAAGGAGCTGAAGGAAGTAGAATGTTATGGTCATGTGATGGAAAGTCTTTGAATGAGAAGCCAGTCAGGAAAATCAGCTGGTAAATCAGATGCAAACTTTTAGGAAATGAAAATGAAACTGGTTCATGCACCTGTTTTGGCTTAGAGCAATATATTCTGCTATTAAAGCTGCAGTATGTA